CCCGGGTCTGGTCCCGGGTCTGGTCCCGGGTCTGGTCCCGGGTCTGGTCCCGGGTCTGGTCCCGGGTCTGGTCCCGGGTCTGGTCCCGGGTCTGGTCCGGGGTCTGGTCCGGGGTCTGGTCCCGGGTCTGGTCCGGGGTTTGGTCCCAGGTATGGTCCCAGGTCTGGTCCCGGGTCTTGTTTGGGGTCTGGTCCTGGGTCTGGTCCTGGGTCTGGTCCTGGGTCTTTTCCCGGGTCTGGTCCGGGGTCTGGTCCCAGGTCTGGTCCCGGCTCTGGTCCCGGCTCTTGTCCCGGGTCTGGCCCCGGGTCTGGTCCCGGGTCTGGTCCTGGGTCTGGTCCCGGGTCTGGTCCCGGGTCTTGTCTGGGGTCTGGTCCGGGGTCTGGTCCCGGGTCCGGTCCCAGGCCTGGTCCCGGGTCTGGTCCCGGCTCTTGTCTGGGATCTGGTCCCGGGTCTTGTCCCGGCTCTAGTCCTGGGTCTGGTCCCGGTTCTGGTCCCGGGTCTGGCCCCGGGTCTGGTCCCGGGTCTGGTCCTGGGTCTAGTCCCGGTATGGTTCCTGGTCTGGTCCGGTGTCTGGTCCCGGGTCTGGTCCCGGGTCTGGTCCGGGGTCTGGTGCCAGGTATGGTCCCGGGTCTGGTCCCGGGTCTGGTCCCGGGTCTGGTCCTGGGTCTGGTCCCGGGTCTGGTTCCGGGTCTGGTCCCGGGTCTGGTCCGGGGTCTGGTCCCGGGTCTGGTCCCGGGTCTGGTCCCGGGTCTGGTCTGGGGTCTGGTCCCGGGTCTGGTCCCGGGTCTGGTCCTGGGTCTGGTCCCGGGTCTGGTTCCGGGTCTGGTCCCGGGTCTGGTCCCGGCTCTGGTCTGGGATCTGGTCCCGGGTCTGGTCCCGGCTCTAGTCCTTGGTCTGGTCCCGGGTCTGGTCCCGGGTCTGGTCCCGGGTCTGGCCCCGGGTCTGGTCCCGGGTCTGGTCCCGGCTCTGGTCTGGGGTCTAGTCCCGGGTCTGGTCCCGGGTCTGGTCCCGGGTCTGGTCCCGGGTCTGGTCCCGGGTCTGGTCCCGGGTCTGGTCCCGGGTCTAGTCCAGGTCTGGTCCCAGGTCTGGTCCCGGGTCTGGTCCCGGGTCTGGTCCCGGGTCTGGTCCCGGGTTTGGTCCCGGGTCTGGTCCCTGGTCTGGTCCCGGGTCTGGTCCGGGCTCTAGTCCTGGGTCTGGTCCCTGCTCCGGTCCCGGGTCTGGTCCCCGGTCTGGTCCTGGGTCTGGTGCCGGGTCTGGTCCCGGGTCTGGTCCCTGGTCTGGTCCCGGCTCTGGTCCCGGGTCTGGTCCCGGGTCTAGTCCCAGGTCTGGTCTGGGGTCTGGTCCCGGGTCTGGTCCGGGGTCTGGTCCCGGGTCTTGTCCCGGGTCTGGTCCCGGCTCTGGTCCAGGATCTGGTCCCGGGCATGGTCCCAGGTCTGGTCCCGGCTCTGGTCCAGGGTCTGGTCCGGGGTCTGGTCCCGG